CCTCCCTCCCCCCCTCTCCATTTCCTCCCTCCTTCATTCTTTCTCCATTACCCTTTCCAATCTCTCCCCCCCCCCTCTCTCTCTCTCACACACACACACACCCTCTCTCTCTCTCTCACACACACACACACACACAAACCCACCTGGTCCCTCTTATCTGCACAGAACAGCCGCGTGTGGTGTCTCTTCTGGACGACGATGAAGGTAATTCCTGGCTGGTACCCCACCTCCAGGTTGATGCACGCTTCGCGGATAGCACGCAGTTCGTGGGCTAGCACCTGTAAGGAAAGCGTGAATACAACCTCCTCAATTTTCAAACTTCATTCATGAGATCCGAATAACTATTGGTCGCAACAATATCATGTGATGATGTTTTTTATGTGACATCTCTTTCAATACGGCAAGTGGAATGTTATCACAAAAACACGACAACTATAACTCTTGCCTCAAACAGAGTAACGCGAAATATTTCATCTCAGTTTTAAGTCTTGGACCACTAAGAATGCCAGCTATCCCATTAAAGCAACAAGCCAATACAATATGTTCAGTTTAGAAGTTAAAACCAACTTCAGACTAATAAACTTCTTCAGTCAAAATGGTCACTCACCTGGTTGAACTGTCCCTCGCTGACTCCGTCTCTGTACATGATAATCCTGGTGGGCTTGAAGCGCGTGGACTTGTAGAACTGGATCAGCAGCTCCTTCACCATCTGGGCCAGGTCTTGGATGATCTCCTGGCGATGCTGCTGGACTCGAACGGTGGCGGAGTAGCGGCTAGGGTGGGCGTCCATGCTGCCAACCACCTGTGAAGAGTAAATGGGACAGATAGGATAAACGGTGCGGCTTTGCAGGTCCCCCCTTTCTCAAAAAAGTCAGTTCTCAAGCTCAAGTCTTGCACCAATATAATAGTCAGCTACCAAATTTGAGCAGTCTAAGTTTAGTCCATATACTAAGTATAATGGGGCCTAGACCAGGCTACAAATGGTGTACAGAATATACTTTTTTTTTCTCTGCTCTCATGTTAAAATAGAACTATTATAACATTGTACACTACTGAATTACGCATGTGCATGCCCGCGTGCATGTGTGTTTGTGTGTGTGTGTGCATGTGCATGTCCGTGTGTGCATGCATTTAAACTTACTGCAGCTATGGAAGGTTTCAGCATGTCTCCTGCAGGGGGGTGGGTCACATCTGCTCCCAGGAATATCACAGGTTCCCGGAATATTCCAGGCCTAAGATAGAGAAATTGAACTGTGTATTGAATGCCTTAAATCTTAAACATCTCCCAAGCCTTAGAAATCTAAATTCAACTTTGTAAAGCAAGTAAGTGAATATCCTCAGTCATTCATTAGCAGTGAACATATAAAATGTTCTGTAATATTGAAGGTACCTGCATTTTACTTATAAGTAAGCATTAAAAAAAATTCCAGGCTCAAAAAAATAAACACTATTAAAAACATGATGCCTACTGATAGGAGAAACGTTTTAAAGAAGAAATTGTATGTCAACGAAATAAATGCGCTTACCTAATGCTGGGCAGAAGAATGTTGTTGATGCCTCCCAGTTTGACGTTGATCTTCAGACACAGATTGGACAGGGTCTGGGGGGAAGTTTTGTTCACATTCTTGGCCTGAACACACTGGGTCGCCAACCCAAACAGGATGTCACCAACACGCTTCACCTCGGCTGAAATAAAGAAGGCAGATTTACAATTATTTCTCAATAAAGCTGAACACACTAAATACAGACATGAGCCTAGGTTTCAAAAAGAAAAAAAAAACTCTGAACATTTATCATGGGCCCCAACACCTAACCTTGACAAATCTCAGAAACGCTCAGAATTTTAAAAGAAGCAGAATTCCGCTTTTCCACAGAAAAAAACTCATGTCTGTAGAGAAGCAGACATTTAGTCAACTGGAAAAAGCAGCAGAATCACAGTTTTTATAAACAATATTCAATAACCCCCTCCCTCACCCAAATCTGAACCTACAAGAAAGCTTGAAATCAAATGGAACAGAAAAGTATATTTCAGGCAATTACTCCCTGGGGTAAAAACTTATCAATTTTCATAATGACAAGAAGTTGAAGGTAAGCATTCAGGAATTAGTATGATTTTTTAATGCTCTACTCATTCCGGTGTATATATTACTTTTCTACGATTTATCATTTTCATTTATTCACTACACAAGAAGCAAATTTACTTTTCAGTACTTCTAAAATATATTCGTGTGTATTCCTTACAAAATCTTTTAAAAGGGAAATTAATAATGTTGCTCAAGTATTTTGAATAATTACAGTACATGATAATTATATGGAAGAATGTCATTTCTCTTCTATACAGCCTGGTGTAGTATGTATCCACTTACCGTAGACTGGCGTTTTCCCAGGCAGCACCACCACAATCAGCTGGAGCCCTGAATATGTATTCTTCAAGTAGCGGAACATTGGTTCCACTTGATCTGGGCCCGTGGCGTACTTGCAGAAGCATGGCTGCCCAACAATGGGCATACCCGCGTCATTAGATATCCTCTGGAGCTGCTGGGTAAAATTTCTACAGAAGGGCAAAGAAAACAAATTACAGCATGTGAATATGATATTTGATCTAAAATGTGCAGTCCAAAGGTAAAATTTTACATCATTTCTATTTGATTCTGAGATATTAAAGTATTCATCATTAAATTATTTACACATTCATTCTATTTCTTCGCTTATTTTTTTAATTTATGCATTTTGTTATATATCCTTTTATCTTTCTAATCTGTAACTTTTCTATTCCCTTCATTCTGTTATTGATTCCTTTATCTATTTATTCTATTACTTTTCTATTCATTCACTTTGTTACCAATATTTAAGTCCATTTATTTATAAATCTTTCTATACATCCACTGATCTATTCTTCACCTTGTGCACTCTCTCTCTCTCTCTCTCTCTCTCTCTCTCTCACACACACACACACACACACACACACACACACACACACACATGCTCGCGCAGTCCTCACCTTAGAGCATCTTCCCTAACAGTCCTCTGAGGGGCAAAGCAGGCAATGGCCCAGACCCTGATCTCAATGCCACTATAGAACTGCTTGCCTCTCATGTCCCAGACTCCCTGATTGGGGATCGCCTGAGCTTTGGTCTGGAAATAGTCAGACTGCAATAGAGGAAACCCATCACTATGGTCAAATATCAATGTGGACAAAAAAGAAATAAAGAAATAAATAAAAAGTCAACAAATTAATAATTAGCAAAACGATGCATGAAATGAGTACACAGCAAAGCGGAATATCTACAGCACACACACTGTGAATGTTACCTTGAATTTTTTTTTTTTTTTTTTTGGGGGGGGG